AAGAAAGAGGAAGAGCGCAAGATGCGTAGAAAGGCAGATATGCTAGCGGTAGCGATCGCAGGCGTAGATAGACGGGGCCCAGATAGAGGCGATGGTAGATGGAATAGGGAGCCTTTGAGTAGGAATCAGTGCGCGTACTGTAAGGAAGAAGGGCATTGGAGGAACGAGTGTCCGCAAAGAGAGCAGTATGAGAGAGACTTACCCAGGGCAGGTTACGGAAACTTTAGAGGCAGAGCGAGAGGTAGAGGAGGCCCCGGAGGGAGTAATGGTAATAGAGGGAGTAATGGGAACAGAGGAAGTGTAAGGGAAGATAGGTACTATCCAGCAGCGCAAAGGTCCCGCGATAGAGAAGGTAGGGACTTTGTGGGATTGGCTGACACGGTCATGGAGGACTATTGATACCGACCGGGCTCCATCCCCCTTGGTCGAGCGGAGCCTATGGTCGATGTATCAATAGGGGGAAAAAGGAGTGCGTTTATGATCGACACTGGTGCTGAACATTCGGTGGTGACTAATCAAGTTGCTCCTCCATCTGGAAGAACTATTACTGTAATAGGAGCAACTGGAAGAAGTGCTGAAAAACCGGTTCTTAAAAGTCGACTCTGTACATTGGGAGGCCACGTAGTAAAACATCAATTCCTTTATATGCCTGAGTGTCCAGTCCAATTGCTGGGGCGTGATATGCTATCCAAATTACAAGCGCAGATTACGTTCCTACCAAATGGAACAACATCCTTAAAGTTTAATGGACCCTCAGGTATTATGACATTGTCCGTACCAAAGGAAGAAGAGTGGCGACTTTATACAGTGTTGACTAGCCAAAACCCGAGGAGTGATGAATCCTTATTTAACATACCAGGAGTTTGGGCAGAGAACAACCCACCAGGACTGGCCCGCAATATTCCACCTATTAAAATCGAACTAAAACTTGGGGTTTATCCAGTAAGCCTGAGACAATATCATATTCCGCAGAAGGCTAAGAAGAACATCCAATCTTATCTGGATAAGTTCATACGGTATGGTATCCTAAAATTCTGTACTTCCCCCTGGAACACCCCATTGCTGCCTGTTCAAAAGCCCGGTACAGATGAGTATCGACCTGTGCAGGACTTGAGAGCAGTCAATGATGCGGTTGTTAGTATACATCCAGTCGTGCCCAATCCATATAACCTGCTTGCTTTAATTCCGGGCGGGGCTACTTACTTTACAGTCTTAGATCTCAAAGATGCCTTCTTTTGCCTCCGAATTGCCGCAGAAAGCCAATGTATCTTCGCTTTCCAATGGGAAAATGCTGTAACGGGCTCGAAACGCCAAATGACCTGGACAAGATTGCCCCAGGGGTTTAAAAATTCACCTACCCTATTTGGTTCAGCTCTAAGTCAAGATCTACTAGATTTCGAGTCTATCCCAGGAGAGTGTGTATTATTACAATATGTAGATGACTTGTTGATAGCAGCAGTTACAAAGGAAGTATGTCAGCAAGCAACGCACGATCTACTACACATTCTCTGGAAGGCAGGATACAAGGTGTCAAGAAGGAAGGCTCAGTTGTGTTTGCCAACTGTCAAATATCTGGGATTCCATATCTCTGAAGGTCAAAGAATTATGGGGCCAGAGAGAAAAGAAGCTGTGTGCCAAATACCGATACCCAGGAATAGAAGACAAGTGCGAGAATTCTTGGGGGCAGCAGGCTTCTGTAGGATATGGATTCCCAGCTACGCGATACTGGCAAAACCTCTGTATGCAGCTATCAAAGGTACAGAGCACGACCCCTTCTTATGGACTCAAGAACAGCAAACGGCATTCGAAGATGTGAAGAGGGCTTTGATGAGTGCCCCAGCATTAGGTCTACCTGACCACACACGGCCATTCTACCTGTATGTACATGAGCAAAGAAGAATGGCTGTGGGAGTATTGACACAGTACTTGGGATCATGGCAAAGACCTGTTGCCTACATGTCTAAGCAACTGGATGCAGTGGCCAGCGGACTTCCACCTTGTCTAAGAGCTGTAGCTGCAGCCGCCCTGCTAGTAGCTGAAGCCGATAAACTCACTCTGGGTCAAGAACTTTATGTACGAGTTCCACATGCAGTACAGACGTTGTTGGATTACAAAGGAAATCATTGGTTTAGTAACAGCCGTATGACCAAGTATCAAGCAATGTTGTGTGAAAACCCAAGAGTGCATTTAGAGACTGTAAATACCTTAAATCCAGCTACCCTTTTGCCACAACCTACTGAAAGTCAACATGATTGTTTGGAAGTAATGGATGAAGTATTTTCAAGTAGACCAGATCTTCGTGATTTTCCCATCCAGAACCCTGATGTTCAATATTACACCGACGGCAGTAGTTATGTAAAAGAAGGGATCCGCTATGCAGGATATGCAGTAACAACGATAGACAAGGTGATAGAAGCTCGGCCACTGGCAAAAGGAACATCAGCACAAAAGGCAGAATTGATAGCACTGACACGAGCGTTACAATTGGCTGAAGGTTTAAGAGTGAACATCTACACGGACTCCAAGTATGCGTTTTTAACCACTCATGCCCACGGAGCTTTGTATAAAGAAAGAGGACTATTGAATTCAGAAGGCAAAGAAATCAAATACGCAGCTGAGATCCTACAACTATTGGAAGCAGTGTGGGAGCCGAAAGAAGTCGGTATTATACATTGTCGGGCGCATCTGAGAGGAGATGGTGATGTAACCAAAGGGAATCGGATGGCAGATAGTGCAGCTAAGCGTGCTGCTGAATCAGGAAGACAGGAATATGTGGGGCATATAGCTGCTCTTATACCAACTCCACTGTCTCAATGGATTCCAATTTATACAGCTCAAGAAGAGGAGTGGTTAAGGACTGAACCTGGAAAGTATTTGGAGAACAAATGGTATCAGTTAGAAGATGGAAGAATAGTTATTCCAGCATCACTAGCGGTAGAAATTGTCCAAAACTATCATAACGGGACACATTCTGGGAGAGACAGTACAGAAGAATCTCTCAGAAAACATTTCTACATACCAAGATTGTCCAACTTGACTCAGGCCATTGTACGTAGATGTGTAACGTGTGCTAAAAATAATGCAAGACAAGGACCAGTAAAGCCACCAGGAGTCCAGTTTATGGGGGGACTTCCCATGTCCGATTTACAAATTGACTATACAGTGATGCCTAAATCGGGTGGACATCGCTACCTGCTGGTAGTGGTGTGCACCTATTCAGGCTGGGTAGAAGCATGTCCTACTCGTACAGAGAAAGCAGGAGAAGTCGTGAGATTCCTGCTACGAGAAATAATACCCCGATATGGACTACCCTGCTCTATAGGATCGGACAATGGTCCAGCTTTTGTTCATCAGTGCCTACAACAATTGACTCATATGCTTGGTATAAAGTGGAGGCTTCATACGGCATATAGACCCCAGAGTTCTGGTAAGGTAGAGAGAATGAATAGAACTATTAAGAATCAGTTGGCTAAAATGTGTCAGGAAACCCAACTTAAGTGGAACGTTCTCTTGCCCATAGCTCTATTGCGAATCCGTAGTACACCTACCAGAAGGATGGGCCTCTCTCCTTTTGAAATCATGTACGGGCGACCACCTCCCGTGCTTGGTAACTTAAGGGGGGATTTGAGTCAGTTGGGAGAAGGAATTACCCGGCAGCAGGTTGTAGAGTTGGGTAAGACTATGGAGGAGGTACAGAAATGGGTACAAGATAGATTACCTGTGAATATTTATCCCCCAATTCATAGTTACCACCCAGGCGACCAAGTGTGGATTAAAGAGTGGAATAATGTGCCGTTAGGGCCCAAGTGGAGAGGTCCTTATGTTGTTCTTCTGTCTACCCCTACAGCGATAAAAGTAGCCGAAGTGGCTCCGTGGATACATCACTCCAGGGTTAAACCAGCAGCAGCCGATTCCTGGCAAGTTACAGCAAATCCAGAGAATCCCTGCAAGATCCGGTTAAAACGCACGACTCAGTCGGAGTGACGAGGAACCTTGTAGATTACAAATTTTATTGTTTCAGAGACTTGGTAAGTGAGTGAGAAGGCCATAATAAAGCCTGTCCACTCACCAACGAGTGTATAAGTCAGGGAAAGTCTTGAGGGGACCCCTGTGAAGACGAGCAGAACTCCATTCCCTGCAGTCCTTACATCCTGGAAGCTGAGGTGCCTTCACACGGACGAAGACTGAGGATGACGACGAAAGATGTATTTTTAATAATGTTTATTTATGTGTATTTTTATATTCAGGAAGGTAGAGGTACCAACACTCCTAGCTGTGAGGTATGCATTAAGACTACAAGAACAGGTAACCATATATCCCAGACCCTAATTTGGCATTCGCAATATGAGTGTAAAGGAGATGTATCAAGATGTAGATACTTAAATATAGAATATAGTGTGTGTCATTTAGGAGTAGGAGAACCTAAGTGCTTCAGTCCTGAGTATCAACCCCGTACAATTTGGTTGACTCTCAGAAATGGAGATTCTCAGGGGACCCTAATTAATAAGACGGTATTAAAATCCGTATATTCTTCAGGTGCTCTGCTATTTGATGCGTGTAAAGCAATATCAAGTGGTAGAAAGCCGTGGAATGTATGTGGGGATCTTAGATGGGAGAGGACGTATGGGTCTAACGATAAATATATTTGTCCCAGTAGTAAAAATAAATATGTAAGTCCAAGATGCCCAAATAGAGATTATAACTTCTGCCCATATTGGTCTTGTGTGGGGTGGGCGACTTGGGGACAGACAGCAGACAAGGACATGATTGTGACTAAGTTGCCTACTAATCCATATTGTAAGTCTATGGAATGCAATCCAATCCATATACTTATAAATAACCCTGACAAGTTCTTAGATAAATATGGTAATTTATTTGGGTTTCAAATATATGGGACGGGTTTAGACCCTGGGACAATATTGTTTATAGGGATAGAGACTGATACGGTAACCTCCCAAACTCATCAAGTATACCATTCCTTTTATGAAGAGATGAGCATAGATAATAAGATCCCCCATAATGCTAAAAACTTGTTCATTGATTTAGCCGAGAGTATTGCCGGTAGTCTTAATGTTACCAACTGCTATGTGTGTGGAGGTACTAACATGGGAGACCAATGGCCTTGGGAAGCAAAGGAGGTAATGTCCGGTTCTGAGGCAGTTGACCAATTAATATCTACACAAGCCGACTATCATATGAGTGTTAGAGGTAAATCTGAGTGGAGATTGAAGACCTCCATCATAGGTTATGTTTGCATAGCGAGGAAAGGAATGATGTATAATACTTCTGTAGGAGAATTAACTTGTCTAGGGCAAAAAGCTTATGATAATGATACAAAGAATACAACTTGGTGGTCGGCTTCAAATGTCTCAGAACCATCTAACCCGTTTGCAAGATATGCCAATTTAAAGGACGTATGGTTTGATCTATCCATCACATCTAACTGGAGAGCCCCAGCGAATTTGTACTGGATCTGTGGTAAGAAGGCCTATTCGGAGTTACCACAGGACTGGGAAGGGGCATGTGTGTTGGGTATGTTAAAACCATCCTTCTTCTTGTTGCCTATTGAAACAGGTGAGACTTTAGGTGTTAAAGTGTATGATGTGAATCATAGGAAGAAAAGGGGACCCATAGAGATAGGTGCCTGGGAAGATAATGAATGGCCTCCCCAGCGTATTATAGATTATTATGGGCCAGCCACGTGGGCAGAGGATGGTACCTTTGGTTATAGAACCCCTATTTATATGCTCAACCGCATTATAAGGTTACAGGCGGTGGTTGAGATCATTACTAACGAGACATCACAAGCGCTCAATCTTCTAGCGAAGCATAATACCAGGATGAGGACAGCAGTTTACCAAAATAGATTAGCCTTGGATTATCTTTTGGCAATAGAGGGAGGTGTATGTGGGAAGTTTAACCTGAGCAATTGCTGTCTTCAAATAGATGATGAAGGGCAAGCAATAGCTGAGCTTACTAGCCATATGGTTAAACTAGCGCATGTGCCTACTCAGGTATGGAAAGGGTACAATCCAAGTAGTTGGTTTGGTAGCTGGTATGAGTGGTTTGGAGGGCTTAAGGCAGTGGTAGGTGGAGTCCTACTGATTTTAATGTTGTGTCTACTCCTGCCGTGTCTTATACCCTTAGTAGTTAGGTCTGTGCAAAGCCTGATAGAAAATATAGCAGAGAGGAAGGCTGCTGCACAGATAATGGCAATTTATAAATATAAGGCTCTAGATCAGGGAGAACCAATGCAGGAAGACGAGTGTTGAAGATTCACATCATAGGATAAGTCTGGTCTGGTTCAAAGGTAACTTGTGGTGTATGCAAACCAAGGTTAAGTGATGCCTCAAGTAATTGTAAAATATCAAGAGGCATCAAAGGGGGGAATGTGGTGGAATCTCGGTAAAAATAAATTTAGTAGGCCGAGATTACCACGTGGCATGTGTACGTGCATATGCTGACGTATCGATCAGTTGGTTGCACGAGGCAAGATACGATCAGTAGTGTACGGAGCATGTGCAAGAATACAGGATGTAGTATTCCCCTCCTCCATTGTGCTGGACAAGCCATGCGGTCAAGCAGGAAGTTAATTCTTATTTGTAATGATTGGTCAAGAGAATGTGCGGGTGGAGCTTAATATGGGAGGAGTTATGTGCCTATATAGGGAGCCTGCACTATTGTTCAGGGCTCAGAACTTGCTGTATTTTTGGTGACATTAGTCCCTCTGAGTCCCGATCGGTGATCCAATAAAGAATCTCTTCCTTCCTGAAGAAACCTGTGTCCATCCCTCTGTGCTTTGCTTCCGTCAGTTTCTCCGGTATCACACGCTCAACATAAAAGACTACTTTCACGAGAAAAACAATAAAAAGGTGGTAAGGTGGTGGTGGTGGTGTATATATATATCAGACATCAATTTTGCACAGAAGTGACATTAGGCAGTCCGAACTTGTGTTTTTGAAGTAGAATTAAACCTCTGGCAGTGAAGGGGTAAATCTCTGTATGTGCAGGGTTTTAAATCTCTGAAGTAGTTATGGTGTTTGCAGTAACTGTTTAAGCACGGATATAATAGTAGCCCTTTCCTGAGTATTTGTAAGGCTGTGGGCTACTGTATAATGACTTCTTACCCTCCAACAAGTTCTGCAATTGATGATTAAACAAATAGAAAAGTTTGGTCACTAAACTATGAATTCAAAACAAAATGGCAAGTTTCAGGTGAAAACAATTGCATTGAATTTTTTCCCCAAATATTGTGTTTTTACAATGTGACTATTTTAGCCTAATGTTTGCACTGTTTGTTGAATAAACCCAATGGATTTTTTTTTTTTGTGAAAATTAATTTTGTTGTTTCCAAACAGCATTCTATTTACACATCCAGTTACCCTTATTTTATGTACTAGTGTGGCGTTCTGTATACAACCCAGGAACTGTGCGCACGTCTTGCCATGACACTATCAAAGCAGCCTTTATGAAAGCGTTGTGGTTTCAAGTTCCTGTAAATTAGTACTATTTAAAGCAGGAAGCAATACAGAAGTATGCACATGTGGGTTCACCTGTTAGTTGGTCTCAGATCCCTAACTCAATAAAAAAAAAACAAAAAAAAAACAACACAAAACTGAAAGTCACATGTTTGTAACGGGGAAACTCCCACTTCCCACACACGCTTAAACATACATTAATTAATTTCATGAGATTAAAATCTGTGTAGGTAACTATGCTCTAACAGGGATTTTCTCTGAAAGGGCAGTCTTTACATAAAAATGCCTGAAGAGACTGACTATACTCACCAGAACAACTACATTTAGCTGTAGTTTTTTTCGTGACTATATTGTCCCTTTAAATAGACTTGTAAAATCTAAACATACATTTATTTATATTTTGTATACATTTTGCTCTTTACGGCAGCACCACTGCTAATCAATGCATGTTCCAGGTGTGCCCCAATTCCCCCCCTTTTCTCCATTTTATAACCTATTCATTATTCTGGAGAAAATCAATAATTTTTTGGAGATGATCTGCATTTGTTCTGAATGTATTTACAGTGGGACCTCTGTTTACGAATTTAATGCGTTCTCCGGGACGTTTCTTATTGCGAAAAATTTGTAAACCGAAACGCGGTGTCCCATAGGAATGCATTGAAAACCAATTAATCCGTTCTGGAGGTCAGAAAAATGTCAAAATGAGCTGGCATGGAAACCAATCCACAATGCAGAGCACACAATAAAAGGCATGCAAACGTCAAAGCTCAGCTCCCTACTTTTCCACAGCTTGATGAATGCACCAAAAAGTCCCAAAACAACTGAAAGCAATTTCCAGAATGGCTCCAAAACCCGATGCAAAAGCCGCTCCAACACCTCCACACCCGATGCCGCGTGCTACCCACAGGCTCCAGCATGCAGGGAGCAGTGCTATAAACCTCCCAGGTGCAATGCATCCTGGGGAAACTTGCCTTGTATTGTGAAACAAATTTGTAAACCAAGGCATTATTTTTCAATGGATTTCATTTGTAAACCAAAAATTATGTTAACCGAGGCGTTTGTAAACTGAGGTCCCACTGTATCCTCCTAGTCACCAAAGCATGTTATCACAAAATTACTCCATTTCATTAGCAGCAGGTTGAGCAAGGGCTTGGCTGAAGGATCTTATCCAGAACAGGGAGGTGATGCCTGCACCTTAATACCCCTATGACGTCTACAATTGATATGGAGTGGTTATGGTGCTTGGGCTGCCTAATTTTGATGAGCAATTTACGGCCAAAACACTTGCACAACAATTTGCACAGATTGGCTAATGATTCCCCATGACACTGTCAGAGGAGTTACACTTCCAGCAGCCAAGTGGGTAAACTCAGTAAATGTTTTTCACAGAGAAACACTGCACATACAGACTCCAGGCACCATGACAACTTCAAATCACTGAAAAGGTCATTGTGCTTTAGTAATCCTTTAAGTGCACCTCGTCTTACTCCGTAGAAATGCATTGCATACCATCCTGTGATGCGCTAATAACCCAGATCTCCGCGAACTTGGATTATGAATACATGGCGAGCAAACAGATCAGAGCTGGGAGGGGGGCGGGGGTGAATGAGTGAGATTAAGGAAAGGTGGGAGATGTATATATCTCACATGATCCTCCCATTAGACAACAAATCATAAAAAAACATATGCACACTGTGAGTGGGATGGCTTTCTATTTTGTACTATCCTAGGCTCGCACAGATATACAAATCAATAGCGGCAGACAGCCAATCCAAATGACGACTAAACTAGCTCCTGCACAAAACTTTATAAGACTTTCCCTATGAGACCCCAAAAAGGACCAGATCCGGATCAGTTTCCACCTAACCTTGCCATAAGTTTAATACCCGATCCACACTGACCCATTATATACATAGTTTCACTAATGACACACACCCCGACCTCTGGTTGACGATATGCTAGGTTGCCGACCATCACTTCCACAATGTCTTTTTAAAAATAATTATTTTTTACCAATTTAAAGATTTCCTTTTACCATGCGGCAGATGCATTTAAGGTAAAAAATTGTATAAATCGAATGTAGTGACCTGTATATGGAATCGTTATTGACAACAATATGGGTCTCATTTCCCCCAAATTCCCTTTTTTCTTTCTGTATCCCACTTAGAAGAAATGCATTGCATAAATAAAAATTACGTCCACTAGATGGCAGTAAAATACTACCTCAGACACCTCTCCAGTACGTATGCTACATGTGTTTATATGACATCTTCGCTTTAGTGTTCATCGGGGTCAGTAAAGAACAGAGAGAAAGTCCTGGAGATACTTTATTATTATTGCCATTTATATAGCGCCAACAGATTCCGTAGCACTTTACAATATTATTAGAGGGGGCATTTAACTATGAGTAGGACAATTACAAGAAAACTTACAGAAACGATAGGTTGAAGAGGACCTAGCTCAAACGAGCTTATAGTCTATAGGAGGTGGGGTGTAAAACACACGAGGACAGGAAATAGCAATCAAAAAAGATGGGAGTGACGCAGAACTGGAGGAGAGTGTAGAGTGCTGCCCTTTAGGAGAGCACAAGAGACAGGTATGTGAGGTAGAGGTTAGTCTGGGAGGAAATAAGCCTTCCTAAAGAGATTGGTTTTAAGGCACTTCTTAAACGATTTACGACTAGGGGAGAGTATGATGACGGTAGGCAGGCTATTCCATTGGAAGGGAGCCGCCAGCGAGAAGTCCTGCAAGCATGAGTTGGCCGTACGGGTGCAACCAGCGGACAGGAGAAGGTTACGGGCAGAGCGGAGAGACCGAGAAGGGGCATACCTATGGATCTGTAAGGAGATATAAGAGGGGCTAAGATTATTCATTGCTTTATAGGTATGGGTTAGCACTTTGAATTGGCTCCAATATGATACAGGGAGCCAATGTAACATTAGACCTGATTTGTTTAGGAAAAAATAAAAAA